GAAAAAGGAAGTAAAGAATAGAAAAGATTATTTTGGTGGCAAATGGTTAATAGTTAAAAGATTACAAATAGATGAATAGTAAATTTAATTGAAAAATGAGTATTAAAAGGCAAATGGTTAATAGTTAAAAGATTACAAATAGATGAATAGTAAATTTAATTGAAAAATGAGTATTAAAAATTGGTTTTTATAATTAAAGGACGAAAGTGCAACGAATGTAAAGTTAGTGGACGAATAGTGCAATTTTTTCGATCTGACTAGGCGCCACCTCGTGCCACATCACGCCGAGAATGGAAATTTTGATCTGACTGGACGCCACATTAGATATTCCGGCGAAAATGAGCACCGAAATGTAATTTTGGACTAAAATTACCAAAAAAAAAAAAATTAGTGTACCAATTGTAACCGGAAACAATTAAAGAACGAAAGTGCAACGAGGGTATAATTAGTGGACGAATAGTGCAATTTTTCCCCATGAAGAACTAATATACAGTGATTTAAAATCATTTTTTAATTTCAATAAACTGGAAGAGAAGGATCACATATTCCAAAATAAAAATTATAAGATGACCATAGTTATATAGATAGATGATGACTGGAATTACTAGAGGAATTTTAGAACATGGCTAATATCTTAAGACAAGTACTCCAACTAGTGTGCGGGTCGTCCATCGGCTAGCGGTCGAGAAGGACGAGACTCTCTTGGTGATTACTAGAACGGACACTATAACGGCCATAGGCTCGTTGTTGAGAGAGGGACAAGGGCTCCAAGTCCTTAAACTGCCTAGCCCTCGGATCATATGCCGCAAAGACACCATGGTCATCAGGGTGAGTAGGGTACTTGTCCATCAACAACTCCCCATTCTTCAAAAAACACACAAACACAGCATTCACATTAACACTGTACAGTTTCTTCCAGTACATATCACAAGATCCACCAGCGTCCATCTTCACCCAAATTGTCCAAGTCGTTAATGGCGAGCCAATAATGGTGGGATGTACCAAATGCAACGAATCCCTAACTACAGTAACCACTGGTTCTCCGCCAAACTCACAAGGTTGCGGTAAGGCCATCTCTGCAAAAACCTCCTCCTCCACATCGAACGAGTAAAGCCTCTTGATCTTGGAAAGAAGCACGAACTCTTCAAACTCCACCTCATTACAATTAATGTCAACAGAGACGACCCAGTGCATCTTGCCTCCCGCCAAAGCGCCCGTGCCACGAAAAAGTGGGCCGTCTCCTCTTTCTCCTGTCCAGGCGGGAGGGCACATTTTGAAACCTCCGCGCCACGCATGTGAGTTCAAGGAATAGATGTGGAACTCTAGGGCAGGAGTAGTAGTAGTAGTAGTACTGCCGCCTACTCTCCTAATGACCACGATTTTGTAATCGTCCGTGGTGGAGTCGTATCCAAACTGGATGGACAAGGTATGCATGTAGCTGAAGTTGGGTTCCGGTAGGCAGACGCACCTGCGGATGGTAGGGTTCCATAGCACAATGGTTATGTTGGCTTCCACAGCAACACAAAAATAGGATGGGATCAGGGATATGCATATCAAGCCATTGATGGAGCCCAGTATGTGGTGAGAGATCATGTCTGGGCATTTGAAGGGGAAATCGAAAGGGGCCAACCAGGAAGGGTCGGCAGGGAGATGTTCATCGTCGTTAAGCAGCAAGTACGACTGCTTGGGTATCTCATCAACAGGGCTAAACGGTCGACGGTCTCGTGTGGTGAGCAAGATTTTGGAGGTGTGGCGGTTTCTAGAGAGGTGCAAGGAACAGAATTCGGGGCTGGTTACGATGGACTTCCACGATTTGCATACGGCCATAAGACGGAGCAAAGCTTGTACGGGCAATCTCACCAGGATTTCAACTAACAGACCTTTACTCAGACATGGAGATCCTCCCTCCATAACTACTTCTTCTTCTTCTTCTTCTTTTGTTTTCGTTGCCAATTAATTATTAATGGAATTTATCTATGCATGTGTACATAATTCAGGAGACTTGCAGAGCCTTGATATTATATAGACTTAGTTACTAGTATTATAGTCGGTATAGGAAATTAAAATTTTTAGTCTTATTAAAGTCATAGTCGGTATAGGCTTCTTTGTTTTGTCTAATAAACTTGGGAATATTCTCCGTGTCAGGCTATAATACCTATCTGTCACTTCAATATATAGTTATTACATTTTAGCATTTTTTTTTAGATTTTAATTAAAAATAAAAACGTAATATAAATTTTTATTGTATAATTAAAGTTATTAATAATAATCATGACAGTACCATCAAAGTAATATATATATATATATATATAT